GGAGGCAGCGCGCCCCGCGCGCCGCGCGGCTGCGGAGAGACGACCCTGGCGCCGGCTCTGCTCCTGGCTCGGGAAACGTTTCTGGAGGGGGAATGTTTGGAAGACAAGGGATTCCTAGAGGTGCATGGTTTTCTCTTTCCCTCGCCTTGACTTTGCCCAAGTAAAACGCTTTCACCTCTTAAACCCATTGTGTCTGAACTCCTTGTCTCTGACAGTTACTAGCGGGAGAAGAGGGTAGTTGGTTAATTTTTGAGTTTCTGAACTTTTCACATACCCGCGCATAGAGAAAAACCGGAGTCTAGCTGTTAGCTGCAATTTTTTTTTAAGTCTTCCCCGCCCCTCGGGTCTGGATCCTACGTTGTCTGGCCCGAGGACTCGCTGAGGCCAGCTGCTCCCCAGCCCTTCCGGTTCTTTCCCCTTCATAGCGGCTTTGGCATGAAAAGATCAGCCCGAATAGAGGGGCTGGTCACAAACACTTCTTTGCCTGTGGACCCTGGGGCCTAGCCCGTCTGCAGGGCTTTACCAAACTAAAAACATGACTTTCTGGTCCCCTGTGTCTCTCCATCCCAGCCCCCATCCAGCCCCGCAGTGCCATCCCAGAGGTTACTTTTGCAAGACACCCCTCCCCCCACACACACGACCATTTGTTGCACTAGGAATTGAAGCATGAACCCCAGGCTGGTGTGGCCCCTAAACTGACCTCTCCCCATAATGGCCCTTATCAGACCTCGCTCTGGCACTGGAGACCCAGAGGGTTCCAGCAAGAAGAGATATGAGAATTTTTTAGGGCAAGGATATGGTCAGCAGGATTGGAGCTGGTGAGTTTCACTCCAGTTCAGCCCGTCCACAGCTCCACCTGCTTCAGGAGCCCGAAACCCAGGGATCCACATTCCTGTCCCAAGACCCACTCCTGCCTCGAATACCTTCCCTTTCCTTGTGCTAGCTCCCCAGGACCTGTTTACACCTGGGTCAGGGGTGGAGAGGGGCCCCCCCATGGAAACTAGTGGCCCTCTGGTCATGGTTTTAGGAACAAGCCCAGTTAGGGTGTCCTCACAGTTAGTGGTTGTGCTAACTCTTGTTTCTACTGAAGCGGGTTTTGTAAAGTTGCCATCGACTAGATATAGCTTGGGCTGGAGAGCACCAAGGAAATGCAGGGCTCCTGAAGTTGTCATGACAGGTGGCATCTGTGATTGGGTCCCAATAGCTAGCTCCTCTCTGTGACACTCACAGTGGTGGGGTGGTGGGGACAGAGGTAGGAGACTGAGGCCAGTGAGCATGCTGGGAAAGCGTTCAGTCCAATCTTTTCCCTGCACTCAGGATTCTCCTGGGCATCCTCCAGCCCCTCTGGCTCTCTTCCTTGGTGTCCAGGAATGGAGAATTTAAGACAGAAATGATTCTGATTCTAGTGGATCTCAGAGGTGGAAAAGACAAAGAAGGGGTTGAAGATTTACAAAAATGGTCATAGAAAAACTTTTGGGATCCTGAGAGTTAGCCAAGCAAAGGCCTAGAGACTGAGACTGCTGCCCCTGAAAAATCTGGAGTCTCTAGAGGGGAGCAAGGCCCATACGTCCTTGGGAGAGGCTTGCCTCAGGCTGACTTCACTTCTCTCCCAGAGCAGTGGGACTGCAACGTCACCCATTTCTTATCTATCGATCAGGTCCCCAAGAATAATTTCATTCGGGCCCAGGATTTTCCCAGGCACTGGGATAACACACTGCTTGTGCAGCACTTATTCCAAGGTGGGTGTATTTATGGGACAGGTTTATAATACCATTTATTAAAGTAAGTAACCTAAAGTTAAACATTGTACATATATGTATGTGTGTATATACCAGCACCAGGCAGTACTCTGCGGCCCCATAGGAAACAAACTTCATTTAGAATGAACTCAGTTTAACATGCTTTGAAGGCTGAAGTTAGGAAGCAGATTTTAAAATACCTTGTCCACTCTCAACCCCTCACCCTCGCCAGCTCAGCTGGCTCCACACTTCACGGAGGGTGGCCCCCGAATTCCAGCTCAGGAGTGGCTACAGCTAACACCACCAGGCGCCAGTCCTGCGGTGTCTCCAAAAGGTTCTACTAGCAACCCAGGACTTTCGAGATAAATGGGAGAGTTGTATTTTCTCTCAGAGTTGGGACAGGCAGAGATCTAAGCAAACCGGCGTTTCAGAACAGGTGTCGCCTTAGCGGTGTGGGGTGGAAGGGCCCACAGGGTAGAGATAAGATCTCAGGTTGAGAAGCTAACCAAGACCCTCGGCTCCGCGCCCCAGGGCCCGGCTCAGCTACTCCTCCCTGTCACTGCTTCTCTGGGCACATGAAATAATTCCCGATTGTAGACACTCGCTCACCCACAATAATTTATTTCTAAAATAAGCAAGTCTCTGAAACCGTTTCCGGAGGGGGCGCGTGGGGATCTTTTGTTCCCCGGAGCCAGCCCTGTCCACTGCGCTGCGAATGGCTTGGGCTCTCGCTCCAGATGTGGACGAACAGAGAGCCCTGAGACCGTCGCGATCTGTGGCAGCCTCTTTCCCTTTCCCCGCACCCTGCCGTTATCTGGAATACACTGGCCCTGGGTGGCCCAGCTGTCGGGTTTCCTCAGGCGTTGCCCTGAGCACCTGGAGCGGCCAGCCCGCTTCCCTCGGTCCCAACCCCAACCCCGCGCCAGCCACCGCGATCACTTACGTGGTCAGGGCCCACGAGGCGCGCGGGAGACCAGGGGTCCGGGCGGCAAACGTGCTGCTGTGCTGGGGGCACCGCACCGGGCTCCACACCCTGCCCTACACCCAAAAACAGGCGCTAGGAAGGAGCCACTGAAACCACAAGTGCAGCACGGAAATCGAGAGGAGTCCAGCAGCTCCGGGAGTTGTCTGGCAGCAGAGTCATGAGCTGGTTGTTGCTACAAAGTATCGCGGAGAGGTTGGGTGATTAAGAAAAAAAATCTTTTTAAACGTTGGCAAAGCCGTTATTGGTTTGGAGGATCGGTTGTGGGGTGGGTGTTGGGTGTTGTTGGGTTTTTTTTGGTGTTTTTTTTTTCTGCTTTTGTTTTTCTTTTTGCTCCAACCACACTGCCTGAAATATTTCTACCCCCAACATCATGCCCTTAAACCAAAGGAGAGGAATTCCGCGGGCAGCAGCTGCTGCTACTGAAGTCAAAAAAGAGAAAAGCCCCTTCCACTAATATCTGAAACGACAGCACCGATGTAATTTGTTTTGAATGTTCATTTTTATTGGTGTTCCTTCTGCCAAAACGTACTTGATTACAGAGGTTTGTCCTGTGATCATTGCGCACTCCAGACAGGGGAAGGTGCATCGGCGAAGGTTCAGCTCAGGCCAGATCAAATCCCGGGCTGTTTAACGCTGAAAGGCTGCATGTTGCTATTAGTGTTAAATATATGGCTAATTATGCGTATGAAAATTAAACATCAGTGTTATGCTAATGGGGCGCCTTCAGCTGCGGATCCGAGCACTTGAGACTAGCATTTAATCAAATGAATCAGTAACTAATACATCTGCACGTGTGAACTTTCACAAGATCATTTCCCCGTTCCCGCCACACTGCTAAATTATGAAAGAAATAATTATCAACACTTTCTAATTACCTAACAAAGTAATTTGGGATTCACCGTGAGGCTGGAGAGATGGGGACCCAACAGCCCCTCGAAGGCAGCGTGGTTCGCACTGCGCCTAGAGAGGGGTGGCTGTGTGGGGGGAGGGGGGGCTTTTGTGCACTTTTCTGTACCTAGCGCCCCAGAAAATAGAAGGTGCTTTGGCAGCTTTTGCCTCCACCAGCCCTGGCCCCAGTTCCAGTGGCGCCCGCTTTGACCCCTGAAGATGAGGAGGACCCTGGGCGACAATGAGAGACATGTCCACACACAGATATGTGAGTCTACTATTCGCTGGTTTGCCGCGGGCTTCAGTGTCCCCCGGATTCCTAAACCCCCAGTACTCTCGCCAGACCCCAGGAGAACGGAAAATGACCACCTGACTTGCGCGGCTCAAGAACTGAGCCAG